TTTTTTTTTTTTTTTTTGGAAAAATTTTGAGACTCAAAGTAGCCATATTTAAAAGAAAAATATTGACGCGAATTTTTTTTTTTTTTATCTTTTGTAATAAAAATTATTAATAAAAAGCCATAAATTTTCTAATAAAAGAAATTTATCATACGTAATTATGGCTTATTAGGTGGCAATGCAGTATGTGCAGTATGATTGATCAATTGATCGACCCGTGATTTTTTATCTTGTTGATACCTCTACCCGTCTACCGCACTACTGTATAAGCCATAAAAACAACAGCCTTATCTTGCGTATTTTAGTTTATTTTGTTTATTCATTATTTAATCCCTATAAAAATTTATTCCGTGTTTTTTTTATTCATATGTTCACGGAATTTAAAGCCTCAAAACTAGGAGATGGATCCGTTGTTTGAACGGATGTTATTTAGCAGGTAGTCATTAAGCCAATGATCATCTATAATGACAAAATTTTATTTTCGTAATGTTGTAGTAATTGAATATATATATGGCGAATCTATTGCTATATACTACTGAAGTAACTGAAAAATACATTTTACAATATAATTCTATCAATATTAAAGCTAGAAATGTGACTTTACTACTATTAGAATTCTTGAATAGTATAAAATCGAAATAAATTTTATGACCACTGAAAATTCAAACGAATAACGGATCCAGCCTCTACTCAAACCATGAAAATTATCCAAGTTGCCTTTTAGTTATTTTCCGTAAATCAAAAGTGTGGCTTTATGAGTAGGCGAAACGAATCCGAAATGTTTCATCACCCGCTGAATGAAAAACTCTAATTTGGAAATTGCAAACTTGAATGTTTCTTGAGAGTAATTTCACATTTTCACGTGATGATTTGCATCGTTGAACCGATCTAAATTCAGAAGATTCTGAATCTCCTGGGTTTAGAACTATTTTAACCATAATAAAAATCGAAGCTGACTAAACCGATTTTCAAGAACCGACTCAAGTCGAGTCATCAGTCAATACCTATTAAGAATTTTGAATTAAGTTTTTTATGTATAAACTTCATTATAGGATATTTTTAAGTCATGTAAAACGTTTATTGATTTAAAAAATTATTCATTATTTAATATTATGAAATATGTGTTTATTATTTGAAATTAGATCACTATTACAACTAACAAAAAAATACGCCCTCGATGGTCATATTGTTATGCTGCGCAATTCATTATTTATACGCGTAAAGGAATTGTTTCAAGTGATTTTTTGCCAAGATCATTATGCTTATGCGTTCGGCTAAGTATCTGTAAATTTTGAATTTGTTATTTTGAAAAAAAAACTTGCTTAAAATTCTTTCAATTACATTATAATAAATGGAATCCTGACTTTTCTCCGTACTCCCTAATTCCAACCTTCCATTGAAACTGATCTCAAGTTAAATATCCAAGGCGTCCGGTAGGTACCTACAAAATAAAAGGAACATTAGTAAAATTATACTAATGTTCCTTAAATCTTGTTCTCCACGCTCAACTCTTACCTAATTGAGATTTTGGTTTCAAAGTGGCGTTCTCATTCCGATTATATTTGTCCCTAGTCTTTGGAAAAAAAGTCGTTTTTTTAATAAAAAAATAAAAAAATAAAAATAAAAAAACAAAATTATTTTTTTTTTCACCTTTTCTTTTCCACCGGCTTAAAAAAACGAAATAAATTTTTTTTTTTTTAAAAAAAAAATAAAAATAAAAAAATGATCGATAAAATTTATCAATCTCAAATGGGAATATATCCACTGTTAAAAAGTTCAAAATATAGCGGTTAAACGATATTGGGTATGATATTTGATGTTGTATAGTTGACAAAAATCTATACAGTCATAGTTTTTTATTTATATAGTTAGCATTTTATCTATACAGTATAGTTTTTTTACACCATACTACAGTATACAGTATACAACATCGGAGGTATACTGTATACCATACTCAATTAACTATATTATCAATTACACAGGACGGAAGCGGTAAGATCTTTAAGATTTGCGAGGAGGTACAAGATATTAATCCTAAATATTTCACAATTATTAAAAGAATTTAATACCAACACGTACCTATGAATGCAATTACTCATGAACAATAATCAGACGAGTACTTAAACATCCAACTTATTCATCACGTTCAACTTCGACCTATCTAACCCAAGTATGAACTACTCATCCAATAAGTATTATTCTGCATTGACATAAACTGCCAGTCCGATACCACCCTTATCATAACAGATCATAACATCGATTTCAACTATCAAGGCAAGCTTCTTTCTTGTAACTCATTTGCATGCTCTTTACTTGAAGTCTTATCCGTTGGAAAAAACCAGTAATCAACTTATTTTTGTTGCTACTTTGATAATGGACTCCAATTATTTTGTTGCTTTAGTATCACTAGCATTAAGCTCACCCATTTGTGCCCTTGAGTATTAGTAATAAGATGAACAGAAGATATTATTTTAATTCTGGAGTAATTGATCGCGGATTTTAATAACTTTTTGCTCACGTTTCATTTTCTTGAAAGACGAAAGTGACTGATTTAAAATCGTTGTCGTCATTAATCTCCGTTTTGAACTTTTTTAGTTATTGCTTGGTAAACACTCGGAA